CTCGTTAGTCACGTCCTAGTTCACATACCTTGTGATCACCTTCCGCATTACGTAGAGTTCTTGCGATTTATTTTAGAAATAAGATTTTCATTTGCCAAAAACTTATTTAATGAATTATACTACGACTGTGTATTCATGCTCGTTAATTTGTTGTCTTCAAAGAAACGCAATGAGGTAGGTAGTCTATGCGTGCGAGATGTCCTAATTTCAGGTTGTGTGAAATTGATTTGCCATGACGACGTAAAGAGACGGTAGAGAGACACCGGAAGCCACAGCGCATGTCTGCGATTTCTGTGCCTCGGTGGTCAAATTTCAGACCCATCTGGTCGTCGAATCTGTGAGTGGATTGTCATAGGTCTACTTTGGAGTGATTTATGGCAAATAACGTTCTAGTTCTTCATCGAGTCTGTTTCGGTCAGAGCAAATGAGTGAGCCTCATCGATTGGCCTGCAACCCATGACCCCGGAACATCTGGCAGTGGGTGGGGTGTGCGGGATCGGGTACGATCCACCGTTCCCACGTGGAGACCAAGGCTTCACAAAACGCCCTGACAACTCTCATTTACGATGTCTCAGTATTAACACGCCTAATTGCTCAAGATGATGAATGCTGAACCGCTTAATTGCCGACGGTAGTTAAAGCAAAACTGAAATCTCTGTGGACACTCTTTGGGCTAGTTCGAAGAGTCTGCCCTCGAATTCCTCCAATGTAACTAAAAGCTTATTTTCCTCAAAGATCACAACAGGCCGAAAAGGTTCACGTTTGCGCGCTTACAATCCCGCAAGCGAAGCGAATAGAATTCCGGCGTACATGAAGTGCGGCAGACTTTTAATAAGTTATGCGAGCAATGATCAATGGCTAAAACTTGGTTCATTTTCCCTAGTGATTGAGGCTCAGTGGCATGCCAGTCCAAAATGATATGAACTGGAGAGTGGTCGGTGGATGTGTAGCGGCTCGGTTCACACTACCTTCCAACCCTGCTAGTCGACAGCTCGTAGCAGCCCGAGAAGGAAGACAGGACCGATGATAGCAAAAATGATGATTTATTATCGTTTGACCACCCAAGTCCTTTATAGAACAGCGCATGAGTGCATCTTAAACGCCAATTGCAATCGGTAATCGATGACATTCGATTATCTCGTGAATAAGCTTTATTCACACCTGTTTGATGAAAGCTCACTACAGATATGAGAAGCATTTCGAATTCTGATTTGAATTATAAACTCATCTTAGTCAAAGTGATTGAGAGATGTCTATTTTTAATATTACGACATACAGAAGGAAAGCTAGAAATAACACTTTAGCTCATGTTACTAAGATTTGGCATAATTGTGAAAAAAAAATTTATCAGTAAATTTTTGCCTCCGAAAATACCCGAGATAATAACCAAAAGAGCACAGTAAAAAATTGATGTTTCTAAAAAATTAAATTTATCTTCTAGACATTGTTTGCATCAGATGAAGGTCCAGGTGTCTGATGAAATTCCGGTATGCAGCATAAGGCATTGAATTATGGAATATTTCTCTCACTGCAAAATTACTAGGCTTGGTTACTTGCTCATAGTTTCAGCGTTAGTTTTAGGTAAAACTGCTCAAAAAAGATCACAAAGCTATTATTTGGGAATCACACCTGCAGCCTCTGGACATTTTTTTATACAATCGGAATTGAATGAATGGAGCATTTTAAATCAGGACTTACTACTATTGAAATGTAAGTAATATTTTTGAATGTGAATTCACCTTTCTCAATAAAAGAAATCTCGCCAACAATAATGCTTCTCCTGAGGCTAGCATTGTCACCAGCAAAGCATGGCTCACAAGTCGATCGTCGATTTGGACACCGCTTGGTAGAGAATTGCAATTGACGTGGCCCATCAATTCCGCAAAGTGGGGCCATCATTTTCAAAACTCTTAAAATCTCGCAATTTTTTGGTCCACATCATTTTAAGCACGCGCGCGTGCATGATTTTAAGCTTGAAGAAAATAGCTTTATTCAGTCCGTCATCAATTTCAATTGCCTCATGTGCAAAACGAGACGGTGTAATTACCCTATTCTACGCGAAATCAGGTTACACTTGCTTAGGTGGTTTGAGCTGAATTAGGAAGCGTCAGGTCAGGTCAGGCCGATTTCGCTGCCTGGTCTATGTCATTAGGCAAGGACAGATGGCATCAAGTGAACTCTGAGAGAGTCGTGCAACAGCGTTGAAACATGAGTCAGTTCTGACCACAATCAAATTCAAGGCTTTTGTTACTGAATACAGTGCTTTGCAAACAAAATCGTAAGTGCCGATCTGTAAAACTCTTTTGTTATTATGGGGACCAACATGTGTTTTGCTTCCGCATTACATTAAAACCTTACAAAGTACTGCTGCATCAAATTGAGAAAACATAGATGTTGTCCTAAAAAGGTTAACCAAAGCCTTCAAGATATTGGCAGTAGAATGGTTGGTAGAGACATATTGCCTGTATTGTGTGTACACTTTTGGTTTACCAAAAGAAACAATGGTTATTACTGCATGGGAATGAGTGGAAATGCAAAATAGTAATTTTCATTGCAAAATGACTACTACACGAAAATGCTCATTTCCTCAATGTCAGTCATAAAATAAAACACATGTTGCCTAAAAAACACTACTGATAACAGAATAACTGAACTCAATTTACTTTCAGATTAAGTTACTCGTGTTTTTACGAAAAGTAAAACAATGTAGGAATGTGGAAACCCCAAATCAAGTCACATTTCCAAGCGGTGAAATTTTTGGTTTTTTGGTATTATCAAAAGCGTAGAAAGATTTTTTTAGAATCACGTTCCTTTGATGCCTGTGGTTTTCTTCCTCTTATTTTTGGTTAATTTCTACGATGCACTGAGGCGTTGAAATATTTTGCTAATAAATTGAGAAATGAATCCATTAATTAACCCTTTAATTACGCAGCAAGTTAAAAATTATAGGCTTTTATTATACTTTTGTCAGAAATGAACTCAAAGATTCCACATTACAGGTAATTTATTTTTAAACGATGAAAGTTCCCATTATTAAAATTTACGTCCGCGTACAAGACTGTTCATATGCGTGAATGTCGTTTCTATTAACAAAAATCACAATTACTAGAAGATAGACATAGTAAATGTTAATGAGAGATTTTTGAAATTTGGTTGTTATTTTGCGTGCCAAACGTAACGTGTAATCAGTGCGCCTTTTCTAAATATGGTCCTTGAAATTTACTACACTATCATTGGCTCCTCGTGTTCCGCAATCTAAGAGTCATTGTCTGCGTTAATTTTAACATTTTTTTAAATTAGCTATTTTTTTATGTAGGGTACTGATGCAGACATCGTTTGTGATCGTTGCTCTATGAATTTATGGTATTTTTCGTTGGGACTTTCAAACCCACTGATTGCCCTAGAGCACTATCTACAAAGTAGTGTCGAACTGACTCCTACACTTTAGTGGACAAGTCTACTGTGTAATTATTACCATCTTTTAGTTTATATATGAACCATAAGGTAACCAATTACTAAAATCAATGGCTTCTGCAGTTCGAAAATCGAAAACCTTTTCGCAACCATGCGAGATACGAAGTCATTTTTATTTTATGTCAGAGCCCCTTTAAAACCCAAAATGCCAGAAGAGACGTGACATCGTATGCGTAATAACTGATAATCACAGTCTCTGGTCCGTTGGTCTGCTTTGTAGTATAGTGTAACCTCCACTTCAATTTCACTAAACCGCAGGCGGTATAGTTTCTTCAAGCCATTTACATGTATTTAGCCGCAGAATGAATGTCTTCATTGTGATTGCGTTTGCCGACACACATAAGACTTCATGCTCTACTAGTTCTTGTAGACTTTAAATCGGTAGAATTGTCGCATTTGCTGAGACTTTAATCATTCGGCATTTAGCATTATTTTAAGTGTTTACGCGGACTCATCTACTGCTTACAAAATTTAAAGGTAAGAATTTCCTTGTACCTTTCTGTTGTCCCCGCCGTAGGATAAATTTAAATGTGTTAAGTTTCATCAAGACCACTTCCTTCGCTGCAAAATCGGATTCGATATTTTGTGCGGCAAAGGCAAGCTGCCGCAGATTCTAACGGTGAAATTCATCTAGTTGTTGAAACTTGCTTCAATGACCTGTCTTTAACAATTTGTAATCTTTTCGAGGTTGTTAGTGTAAAGCATTAATTCGCTACCAGTCTGAAATGGCCTGCCAGTTGGATTAACGACAAGAAACAAACTATAATTTGGCAGATTGCTATAAAATTACGTAAGATCGTGTATGTGGTAATATCCTGGATTCAACTGGTTCAGTCAAATCGGTAGTGCTCGTAACGGTAAATTATTACCTCTTGTCGATAGGCTCACGACTATGAACCAAGGTTCAGTGGTGAGGCCATACCCGGCTACTATGCACATTATTTAAGGAATCTAGTGTATCGATTATCGAGAATCCACATTTTTTATTGTGTTCATCGCGATCGTTACATCCTGATGACAGTATAGTGAATATTGGAATGAGTCAGACTCCCAATGGAAAATTGATTATGATCTATGTACGTTTGTGTTGCAAGTGTGGATTTTAAGGGATTTTCCTAGTGCATAGTCGCAGGTGTTTGCGACGCACATACTAATTAGGTGACTTGGTTAAACGTGAAGGAACGTTCTTGCGCTTCTTGGAATTATTTAACCAGTATTTTTGATATTGGGCCACCTTTTAAATGCTCTGTTCTGGGTTCCAATTCATTACAAGAATAAATAAAGCGGCTTAATTTGCAAGATGCTGGCGAGAGAAAATTGATGAACTCAACAGTCCCGGGGTACCAAAAAGTAATGGACGCCACCAACACTAATCTGAAATGCAATCTGCGATGTTTTAAGTACTACGATTTTTTTTATAATTGCCATCCCTTGACAACTGCATCATTTGTTATACTTTGATCTTGACTTTTTTGTTAACAATTGGTAATATTCGCATAATTTATCCAAGCAACTGGATTTGCAGAATGAACGAGGAAAATTCTGAATTGGAAGTCGAAACACCGACCAAACCGTGTACTTATCCAGCTCTGACGACACCGTCGGGGGGCAGTGTGTACCATCCCTTCCACGAGGGGTACATCTCCCGGCTAGGCCAGGTCACCGTCACCCCGGGGCTGTTTGCCTCACACACCGGCGGGGCCAAAACTCCCTCAAAAAGGGAGGCAATTCCACCCAATCCCTTTGTCTGGTCTCCGGAGGTGCAGGGCGACTTGTTCCCAACTGAGATCGACGAAAATCCCACTGCCCAACTCAAATTGCAGCGAATGCTGGATGCAGACGTGAGTGGAAGCCGTGACTCCTAAATTCACCTTTTGCTGTAGTACGTGAATGTGGCTTTTTTGACATGCGGATCTAAACCCGAGAATCTGTTGATAATGCCAAAAAGTAATGTTGGTGAAATCATCATTTTTAATGTCATCACGGTTTAATTTGTTGGTGGATCTTTCATAATAGTCAACTGGTCTATTATGAAAGATCCACCAACAAAGTCACTAGAAAGTTAATGGTAACCCATCGAGAGATGTGACTTTTCGTTGCCAAATTCCTTGAAATACTGGAGTTGTGTACCATCACTCTGGAGAACGCGCCAGCTTTGATGTCTATTTTGGTGCTGAAAGCTAGGAGAAGGCGATAGTCGAGTTTAATTCACAACGCACACGCACACCTACTTCTCAACGTGCTAGCATTTCTTGGAGACGAGGCGTTTGGAAAGGGAAAATGTGACCTTGTAAATCCACAGGACAACCGAACTTCACTAACCTCTTATCTGTGCTGGCATCTGTCTCTCTGAGGTACCCAACCATGTATCTAAACGTAGTGACTCTAAGTTTTTTGTCTTGACCTAGATTTTACTCCTGGTGGGTGACTCTGCTTAGATCCTTTCTGAGCGTTTTGGTGCAGAGGTTGTTTCGAACTGTCCTGCCTTTAATTTTGCCAAAATTAACGAAAAGCGCAACGGAGTCGGTGTGCAGGATTTCCGCTCACTGCTGCGTTTACTTGCTGACATAGAGACTGTGATAGGAGTTCCCACATGTACTCGTCGTTCTCAGTCGCCTTTCTTGCCGTTTCAGGAAGACGATGCCGCACAAAGCAAGATAAGGACCTTTTTTCACTGCAACGTCATCGCTCCCAGTCCCGAAGGGTCCGTGCAGCAGTCGAAAGGTGACTCAGGCTCACTCCGAGACATCAGCATGCCCTTCTAGTTGAATTGAATCACAGTTAGGATGTCTGTATTAGTTTGAGGCCAGTGAAGGAGCATAAGTTGTCATTTTTTCCTGAAGCATGCTGTTACGCTATTGTCTCGTCAGTTACGTTGTTGGGAGATGTTCTACTTTGAGGTTTCAAACAATCTCACATTTTTAGACTTGTATCTAAACCTTGTTCGCATTTATAAAGTTCCGCAGATTTTCCAATAGATTGCTTGCTTATTTTTTTTAGTTTCGCGGCGTAGTCCAACAAAAGCCAAACTTCAAAGAACTTCCACAGTCATACCCTCACGTAAGGCTATTTCTAACGGTCATTTGGGAGTCTTCTATGCTAAGATGTTGGCTTCAATCAGCAGCCAAAGCAGACAGCGAGTGTAATGGTTCTGCAATGGAAAAAAGTCGTTCGCCCAATCTCCTCAGTGGACATAATTTTCCTCCAATTAGCCACCTTCAATTCACCACCACCAAGTGTGTGGGCGGGATTGCATGCCTCTTCTACCAAGGACCTCGATCAAGACTGCCGTTAGTGCAGGCGGGGTAACCGCGCCTCTTAGTTGGTTGAGGCATCGATTGAAAGTGGTCGAACTTGTGGTGCCTAGACGGTGGTCGCGAAATTGCTCGATTTAAGGGTTTTTTTCTTTTTTAGTGAATTGTTGAATTATCTGTTGAGCCCTGTGTTTGTGCTTAAAGTCACTTGCCATGTTAACGTATTTTATCGCCTTAGCGACTCTCGCTAGTAAGGCTGCGGGCAAGGCAGAGCATGAAGCAATCATGATGGCGGACGGTAAGCGGCTCTTCTTACTAATTTGTTATCAGTAGGTGTGTATTTGTGCATCGTGATAACTTTAACCAAACCCGGGTTTTGAGCATAGCGTAACGAAATTTCCATTGATGGAAAATTTCTTCTCATCAATACATAATTTCAGCGCAGTATTGATTATGCTTAACAGCTAATGATGTTGCGTGAAAATCTAAAGGACTTGTCTTTGCATTCCGTTGCGTAGTGGAAGTTCAGACCGCAGTTTCCATAGCGCCGGACACCGATTTGGTGTCCCTTCTTCAGAAAGTACTGCAACTAAACGAGCCGGGGAGTTCACCGAGCGTCGGTTGCGCCGCCCACGAGTCCCCCGGAATCGCCTTTTTCGAGGCCGGCGCGCAGCAAGTTAAGCAGCCCTACCCGCATAGCTCGCTCTTCTTGTGCGTCTCCTGTCACCAGGCTCACTCACTCAATCGATACAGTCGTCGAAGTATGTTTATTGAGGCTGCTTCTATGGAGACCATCAAAGATGTTCCGTGAGTTTTTTCCCTGCTTTTGCCTTACTGCTACCGTTGAGAGCGGAAATAGATGGTTTTAAATTGGTGTGCACATCCGACTATTACAGGCACCAATAAAAAGACGGGTCTCTGGAACGTAATCAAACGTTATTCCTTAAGGTCTTTCCGGTTTCCAGTGACGATTGAGTTTTTGTTTTCTTGCGGCGTATTTGTAATGCCCCCTGCGAGTGTCCACGAGGTACCAGCGCCCGCGTTCTCCTACCTACTAACTTATGGTCAGTCACTCTGTTTTGACTTGAAAGTAGTCCTAGAGTGGGGCTGGGGACAGCAGCTAGACACGCCGCTCAAATACAGCTTCTCAAAGGGTATCTTTTGAATCGCCGTTAGCATGTATAAATAACAACACTGACATCGGTTTTAGATTCGGAACGGGATGTTAGTAAATTCATTCTTTAAACTTCCGACTAAATGACTGCTTTCGGATTGTTTTTTTTTGTGGGAAGGAAAATTTTCGAGTACATCACCCTTGGCAAGCTTGTGTAACCTAAATTTGTAACTTGTCAACCTTAAAAAGTTGCATTCGGAAACTTTGTTAATGTTGCCTTTCCTTTTCACAAGGCCAGTGCGGGCGACACCGATGAAGCCTATCCTGTCTCCTAGTATTATCTGCAAGTTTTAATTTTTGGTCGCGAAAATGTTAAAGTAATAGGCATTTTGCATCCTGGGAGCTGTCGTATGGTGCTTCAACGCACCAGCAGCAACTGGAACCCCCAGGGGTCGCTGTCGAGCAGACAACCCTGCCATCTCCCTCTCCACCACTCCATTTGAAGACAGCCAAGACGCCGGTCACACGCAGTCAGTCTCGACGCATCGAGACCAACCACTTTGTCAAGACAGACGATAATGTGGCAGAAGGGTCGAGTTTGCGGAATCTCGGACCTATTTAATAACCCATAATGTTATTCACATATGCTATTACCAGGACACAAGAAAAGGGACGGTCAGAAGCAATATGTACTTTATTTAATCAGGGTTGGGCAATTCGCAAGCGGAGCCTAGCCTGCTTTCTTTAATTTCGGCTCATGCATTGGTGCTGGTGGCGTCTCAAGTTGTTCGTCACGATTCTCCAAAATATGCGGCCTTTTTTTAATAGCCTGGGGTTTTGGTGATTGCACTACTGTCCAGAAGCTGCCCCACTCTGGTCGGCATTTTGCACTGAAAAACTTTCGTGTTCGTAGAAACTCCTCCGAGGATAACTCAAGCTCGCAAGACGTCCTGTATCAGTCGGCAAGAGAGACTCTGTCCACACAACGTGAAGAGGTCGAAGACGCTGAGACATTTGCAGAGGACTTTGGTCTGCCCGTCAGTTGGGCCACCGAGGCAGTTGTGTGCAGTTACAGTCAACAGGATGCCTCCATGCAAGAGGTAGACCAACCTACAAGTCGACCGCATCATTGCAGCGGGACAGATCTTACTGAGCTTTTCGACCGAGCCGATATAACGCCTATCAAGAATTTGTCGCATTGCCTGGGAACCTCACATCACCTCGATCCCGTAAGTAGAGTGGGCTGATTCTCAACTGGCTATGCCCAGCGACAACCGAAATCTGGCATCGTAGTTTGTCCGCGGTCCGATTGAGCATTCATTGTGTGTGCGTGTGTGTATGCACAAGTTTAACATATATCCATGGATAGAATCAGTCACTAAGGTTCAATAGGGCTTAAATCAACAGCTTTCACAGTACTAACCTGAGTATTGTGAAGTGATTTCTAGTGACACGTGGATGAGGCGGAATGAAAACTGACGGATGCAATGAGAAAATGTATTCTCCCATTAAAAAAAAACTTTCTAAGAACATAACTTGTGTCCAAGAAGACGTCTAAATTGCATGGCCGGAGTCACACATAGATCTCACTGGTCTTATCACCACGTTAACTTGCTGAAAGGGAATCGATCAGATTCATTGACGGCACTTATCGATAGGCTGCTGGTATCAGTCTCTTTAGCATTTGATTTGCCGGTCGATGTAACTTGCGCTGTCAGTGATTGGCTAGTAGGTCGGATCGGAGCTATCTACTTTCCTACTGTTAACCATACTATGATTTCCACAATTCTATAGTGGATGCGGAAAGGGCTTCTTTCATTTCACTGCACTTAATTGCCACATTCTGCTTTGAAAAAAAATCCCCACAAATATTCAATGTTTAACCACATAATTTGAGTAACCTTCAATGTTTAAAACGACATCGAAAAGCTCTTGTGGTCGATACCTTTGAGCTTTGTTGTTTTAAGCTTTCTCGTAGAGGTCGACATAAAGCGTTTGGAGTAGGCCACTTCCTCCAAAACGGCACCCCATTCGGAGGCTGATGCGCTGTCACCTTTAGGGTTTTTTTTTCAAAGTGCGCTTGTTTTAATGTCTGTGACGATTTTACTTGTCTATTCACCAGAGCTCTCTCGTGATCCCGTGTCGCTTGTTCATTTGTAAGTACTTTACAGACACTGATCTTTTGATCTGCGCTTGAGTCATTAATACCGATTGACAGCTCATTGTGAGTTTAAAGTTATGATGACTGCAAAATTACAGCCTTAAATAAAGTCAATCTGTAGCTGTTTTTGGTTCAAACAGTCGTATTGTCTCATGATGAAATTTCACATTAAAAACACAGTGCTATTTGATTGCGAACAAGTTGAAAATACCAGAAAAACCCTCCCTTGTAAAGTCGTTCAGCACTCTTTCTTGCCACAGGTGAGTCCAGTGGCGGCAGGGAGGACCAGCCCCGAGGCCGGCGCCTTCCAGCAGCACCTCCAGCTCTCCTTCACGGTTGACGATGAGAGCACTCGCGATGCTTGTGGCATTCCTCAGAGGAGGAGGCAGGGATCGCGTCAACAGGCTATGCTCAGCCCCAGACTCTCGCCCATCCCACGCGCCAGTGGGCATTCCCCAATGGACGATGAGTTTGGTTATTCAAATGATTACGATTTTTCTGATTGATGCATCATTTATGCGAAATGTAGGTTACAATTATGCCTTTATTAAATTGAATGAACACTTCATCCCCATATAGTACTGATTGCTCGTTATTGACGGTCGGTGTTCTTTCAACCCCCATGTTGATAATGCTAGCCGTTGCTTGTACCATTTAAGCGTCACCAGTCAATTCCTTGAATGTAGACTCAGTCTATTGTCAAACAGCCGTGATTCCACTTCAGTGCCGAATATCTCTACAAAACACATCACCGCTTATTTGGGATCAGATGCTTCGTCACAAAGGGGGCAATTTTGTAGACAAGTTCATCGTTTTGAGGCCAAACTAGGGTAATATTAGGCTCTTAAAAGGCCAATTTTAGCCAACATACCATACTTCTGAGCAATACAAATTGGTAAAGCATTAACTCTGATTCACTCGCAATGGTACGCGGTCGTTCCAAGGGGATCGGTGAATTATTGCCTAAGATTTTGCTGTGAGCAGGTGCCAAACATTTCCAGAATCTTACTGTATAGTTAAAACTTCGTCATTGAATCACCGAAAGGGTGTGTGGAAATACATGGAACTGTGAATTTTCGCAGCAAAAGCCTACGAGAGTTAGAGATAGAGCTAGGTTCGTGCAGCAACGTAGTCCAATCGCGAACATATTATGCTTTCAAACATTTGGCATCCAACTGTTGGGGCACTTTGGGTCCAGCGCAGATGACTGTCTGGTTGACTCGTTGGGAAGTAAAATTCCGAGCTTCATTGCGTTTACTCGTGTCACTTCGAAGAACGTACTCATGCTAGCTTGGGCAAGGATTTATGTTGATGACTTTAAGTATTTGACATTTTTTTGAATATTTTACAGGCGTGTGAAGGTTAACTTTAGATCGCTTTTCAATATTTAATGGAGATATGATGAGCAGTCAAGTCGGTAACCAGCTCTCAGTTGCTTGACTCTGATCAGCAAATGTGGGATTTTGATAGTGAGGTACCGTAGGTGGTTTTTTGCGTGTCACGAAAGTTGTCACTGGTAAGGATGCTTAAATTCCTCCTGAATCTTGCCTCATAACTTCCAAATAAGCATACATACAAATCACTTACCTTAGGATTATGAGGTTCGTGGGGTTTTCTACTGTGTGTTCATAAGTCCATCCAGGAGGTAATGCGGTGGGATGTGATTATCAAAAGCGAAACAGGTAATTTGACACTCGAATCGAAAGCGTGGCTCAGATCTTGTTGCATCCCATTCGCGAAGGGTGTTTGCACATGTGGTCGTCGAAAGTTGTTTGCCAGGCGCTAACCACTTGTCGGTCTCTCTGATCTGTCTTGCGACTTATGGCTCTGTTTTGGTAGACAACGCAAATGGATGTCTACACCTCGTTAGAATACGACCGCTAAACGAAGGAATTTCTGTCGTCTTCGGGTGGTGTAAGTCACCTGGGGAATGTGACTGCATGTGCGAGCGTTGGTGATGAGTTGCAGCACATTAAATAGCACAAGGAATCAATGGTTTCACTTGTTACAACTTCGTTTTGTAGTTGTCAAATCTGCCATGGTTGATTCGAAATTGTGTTCAAATGTGTCAGCAATCACATGTGATCTCTACCGTCCACTCACCTTTTTACAATTGGGATTGCCATTCGATGATGCCAGTTCAGAATGTGCAGCGACTTAAATTTTCCCCATGGATTGCCTATTCAAAAGACGAGTTACACAGACGAATTTAAATTCAAACAGTTCATTGGGTGTTCCATTATGTCCTGCCCTAAGACAGGCGACCTTTTGATCACTTCACCAACCATCTAAGTCGTCTACCGCGCCTCCCACCTTCCCTATCTGCCCGTATGTCATCAAAAATAGTTATCTGAGGAAGTAAGTGCAGTTGTGTCTTTGTCTCGCACATGAAAACCTCCAATTTGTGTATGAGAGATCACATTAAGGCAGTAGTCACGAACCTGTCAGCGTTATGTATATTTTTTATCTGCCAAAAAAGGGCTGGCTTATTCCCTTATTGGGGTCGCATTTCTGCTGTTTATGTTGCGTAAAACACAAAATGCATGTATTAGGAAAATTAGAGAAAGCCAACATTTATAAGTGCTAATGAGTGAAATGACTTGATTTTTTCTGCTATGCTGATACATTTGGGGACCTCTTTTACTGTTTTTTAATAGCTTCCTTACCACGACTTACGGACCTCCAAACTTCTGTTTGCGACCACGTTGTTTATGCGTTCAACTGAGGGAATGCAACCAACATTGGGGCAAAATTTGATGAAATACAAGCTAATCATGTCGTTTAGAACATGAGAGCGGATTTCGAAGGTCTCAAATCACGCCACCGATGCCCAGTCCGGCTTGGTCGAATCGTTTTACAAACTATTCAATGTCGCGGTCATGGTCAAAATGTGGACACTTGGATAGCCAAATGTTTAGAAAAACACTAGATGCGGCACTGCATTTACAGACCTAGGGTTGACTTCATAAAACTCTCTCACAATAAGCCAAGGCAACGAAAGAAACCGAAATTCCGTCGGCAGTCTTTCTCAGAAAGGTTCCTTGAAACAACCATTATGTACACAGTAGCCATAAATGAAACTAATTGAACAGCTGTCCGTGGGCATTCGTGTTGTTGGGGTCTCGCTCTCTTCACAAGCCACAGTTGTCGGTCTCTGACCGCGTTCATATCTATATTTAGCCGTAATGATTAAAACAAATGATTACGTGCATGTTTTTTGCGCAATCCTGTCTCTCACCTTGTTTGCCATTATTCTAAAATAGTTGTTGTTTTTCTGTTGGTATAACTTTCTTTTTTGGCATAACCTGCAGTCGCGAATTCAGTTATTTCACTAGATAATCTCTCAACCGCCGAAATGCAGGGAAATCTTCTATTAGATAATTGAAAGGGGGCAACGTTTTGCGTAGGGCTTGCCTGCACAGATGCTCAAAAATGGTTATATAAACAGGAAAACTGAAATTCAAGCAGACTAATATTGGTGGTACCCCTTGTCTAAAGCCAGATTATCTAAAAGGATACTTTAGTAAAAAGTTGGGAATCTAAGCAAAGCAAATACTGACTTCAATTGACATACCAAGTCTATAATACAAAAAAATTATCCTAGATTATTAAGTAAATAGCACAAAAGTTAGAGCAGCCAATATTGGCATTTTAAATGCTGAAAGCCAGCATATTTTCCTTTATCTCTAAAGTAGCAGCTGGTTAATATAATTTGTATCTGAAAACATGTAGAAATGTAAACAATTAAATTTACATAACCCAACAACAATACCTTCAGAGATGTGGATGACACCAATTCCGTTATTACGTCGAAGTTGTCCAGTGCAGTGGCAATCCAGAATTTTATGAACAGTTTACAATCAAATTCACGGAAAAAAGTGTTCATAGCCATTATTCATTGCTTTTATGCCATGTTACTAGATTTGACATTAACTAGGAATTGTAAACAACTGCTTATTAACATGAGATCCCCTTCGACGCCTTCTAGATTTTGAGCACAAAAAGAGTCCATGCGTGCGAAGCTGGTTAGCACAGCCGTATGCTCAAACTGAAAATTGCCAGGAGTTGTACTCATCCCGTGTCACGATTCACGATGAAAGCATTTCCATCAAGGATATATCGATGTGCGGTATCAATGCAGAAAGTGCCTGTTGTTAGTTGGAATTGTGGGTGAATGCTCCAGAGCTGATTGGTGTTGTGCAGACTCAGAGGCAGTGCTCACTAAGTGGATGTAATTAGGAAGTCGGGTAACAGTGACTCTCAGTTATGGCTAGTAAATCCCTGGTTCCTGAGTGGGATGAAGCCACATTGGATAAGATGCAGCATTTGGGAATGCTAATTCCTAAGCTGGTTGCCGACTAGAATGACGTAAAAACGATGTCAAATTCGTTGAGCGCACAGTTTGTACAGTGGTGTCAGTGGGAGACAGTCACTGCCGTTCAAGAGAATCTCGCAGTCTTTGTGTTATGCTCCACGCCGCTTTACCTCAAGACGGCCAAAATGCATCTAATCGTGCTAAAGCCAAAACATTTGCAAATGCGCTTTTGGATAATCAGTGTAAGCTCTTCGCAATCCAGCGACGATTCTGCACTCAGACATGTACGACCCCAGTATGAGGCAAGGTTGGCACCTGGTCTCGTTGGCTAGCCTTCCAATTCACAATGCCAACTTGGTCTCCTCCCTTTAAAAACACGCCTTATTCCGGACCCGTTTCGATGTTCACTGCTTAAGTAAAGTTGCCGCAGCCTGTCTTGATGTCCAGATGTATGTGTTCTCCATTGCGCAAATAACTGAAAGAAATTATGAACGTCTGGTGAAAACAAACACAGATTAACAGCGAACACGCGTTCTTCCATTATCTCAATGTCAACAAAACCATCGACACTTCCACGGTGTTACTACAATTTGCAAAATAGACCATTTGAATGCATACATCGTGTGAATCGGGACATCTTGTTACACCATTACCTGTCCCTCTTGTCTTTAATTTCCTTTTTCCATGATTGAATGGCTGCTTTTTTCATCACCAAGGCTAACATGGCTGCACCCCAGTTCATCGGTGACATTCAGCACGTTTGCATCTAAATGCAGGTGACCTTGTGTGCAATCTTGCTTTCTGAATCGATGAAGTAACTGGTCCTAGTTGTAGTTAATTCATCGCACAAAGATTAGCAAAACACGAACCGTGGTTATGGTGTTTTATAACTTTATTCAAATCTGAACGCTTGTGTGTCTACTAACGCCGTTCCCGTTGAACCCAGTGTCATGCACGCTTGATTGTGGATGCTTGCAGTCGGTAAATGGGTATGCTAATGATGGGCACATGTGTAAAGTATGGGTTGCCAACTCGTGATGTCATACGAGCTTGAACGTATGCGATTGAGAACAAAACCGTGGCTTTGCACACACACACACCCACACGCACGCACGCACTGTGAAATATGTAATCAACTTAAACGACGATTGGTTTAAACGCAGTGTTACCTTATTTTTGTGGGCTATTTCGAAGCAGCAGTTGATGTTGTGCAAAGAAACATAACTGGCGACATTTTTACCGCAATAAAATTATCAAGGCACGAAAGATGTAAGCTAAGCATATATTTGCAATGGAGTTTTGATTAGATGGACGATAACTTGTATTTGTCGTATCTAGAGGACGTGTTTAGTTAAATCTCATGGAGTCCATTGTAATTTGATATCCTGCAGTGGCAACAGCAGATTGAAAACCGGAAGGTGCACTTGCGATGTGGTTGGGGGATTATTATAAAAACGCATAAAATTGGGTAGCACGAAAATCATTGTTGGAGGAAGAGATTGGATGATATTTCTTGGTTAAATTCACACCATTTAAGATTCAGGCACAATGTCAGGATTGGGAATCGGATGCGTGTACATTGTGTCGAAAATCAGTCAGAATGCATTCAGAGCTTTTTACTTTGTCAACAAGGCATCTGATAGAACATCGTGAGAAAAGTCCAAGAGTTAAAACCATGGTACTTTGGTTTCTTGAAATGTATTGTGATCCACTAACTTGGCATCGTTGAAGTAGTATTCCAAGGTATGCAGAAAGTGAAGAATGAACAGCCAGCTCACCAATGAGCAAAATTTTGGACAGAAGCAAACGTCATATAAATTGACAGCCGAGCGGGTAATTGCTTTGCTTTCACTGGTCTGGTTTTTAATCCATTAACCAATACAGACTCCGTTAGAATGTAGCATCGAAAAGTGCATGCCACGATAGCAACACTAGACTTATTTTAGTAACACGATCACTTATACTACTACTTGCTACACGTGACGCGAAAGTACTTACGAATCCCCGAAGTATCTTGTTAAGTTTATTCTCACTTGGTGCATAGAAAAATGTGATTGGTGGCGTATGTAGAACGGTTGTTCGCAGTTTTACAAAGAATAACGTCTTGGGGAATGTTGAGTTCCCCAGCAAACTCGACAATAGCGGACATTTTGCCTTAGAGGAGATAGCGAGTCGGAAAAAAAACGCACAGGGGCCTGTGACTCGCATAGACGCAGACCGGCCAATAAGAGCACGGTCAACTAGCGTAACTAGACGTCAGTTTAAATAAGAAGGCTTGACACTCGATCATTGGACAAAGTTCTCTACTTGAACTGAATTCTAGACAGCTGATTGATTTCACTTACGTTCATGCCTGGTAGGATCGGTCTCATGTTGATCGCCACGAAGTATTATTAGTGTGAAAGTGAATAAAGTGCAGCATAGTTCATGAGGAATTAATTGAATTAACCTTGGATGCCAAAAGAATACAATAAAGAGTCACTATACGGATTAAGAGGAGGAACCGGCCCATGGTGCAAATGAAAGTAAGGCAAAGTGTAAAATCCAACCTGTTGTCTGTCATTACCGAAGACAGTCTCTGAGAAAAAAGCCTGCTTCTCGTTAGACGTTTGTGTCATTTGCGCAAGTTGACAAACATTTTTTGAAACGGCTAGCTAATAACAGTTACTTATTTACGAGGCAACCCGCAGTAGAAATTTTTTCTGGTTTCAGGCTAAGCAACTAAGACTTCCTTTTCTCCAATGGAAAAAAAGTTTTGCCCTAACTCTGCATAAACTGGTCGAAGCGAATTCTGTGGATTGTCGTAAAATGACCCAAACTACAAATCAAATAAAAAAATTTGAAAGTTAAGAAACCTGAACCTAATTTACTGTAAGATCATGCAAGACTATTAAAGGCAACAATTATCATAGAATTCCTGCCAAGATAGGCAATGTGCCATACCTTACATGTGAAACCTGAACATATGTTAGATGAATTATTTAAGATTACGAAATTGTCACATGTGAAACTAAAAACAGTCGATCCAGACGGTCGGAAAACAAGGAATAACGGTGGTGCTTGACCGGTTGGCTTTGCTCTGCATTTTCTCCATTCGTCGACCTTCACTAGACACGCACTAAGTGTTTGGTATTCTCAGAAATAAGGCATGCAGGGGAACAATTATTGGATTCATCCATAGAAGGACTTTGTGACAGCATCAGATAATTAAAATTCATTTTATAAGATTATTCCATGACTTTGGATACCAGTACTAGCAAACTGATCGAGTTGGCAATGTGGGCATCATGAAACAGCCAAACTAAGCCCAAGGCCGACTTGCAAGCTAATGTAAGGGGCAGAAAACTGTGAAACCTACTAAAGTTAGTTTCGTTAAATACGAACACTCTGACTATGGGCTTTGATCTTCGTATAACTTAAGTCGTTCTTCCCTTTGGAGGCTGCTTCGCGTACATCTCATCCCCTTCTTTCTAAAACCGTTTCTCGCACAGTTGTTAGACCAAAAACAGCACTTTAAGTCACTTAGGTGTGCAACCGCTGCACATCATGCCAGACAGCTGAGACGCTATTCGCCTGGATTTTCTGCTGCAGCACACATTCCCCATTGTGGTTTAGTTTGACTAGAGTTTAATCTCTAGAGCCCTATGATTGATTATCACATGCCGTGTTGGCGCTCAGTTGTGAGCATGGCTTGGGTAAATAAGCGACTAAAGAAGAAAAAAACATTTGCCTGGTACGTAATGATGAAGCGGATTTCCGAATTAATTACTGATGGGCCAATGTTTGAGAGCGTCAAAATTGACACACTGTGCGTCTGCAAAAGTGTGGTGTTAAACATCAGCACGAGAAGGTGAAGTCGCGAGGCCAGTGACTCGTGAGCACAACAACACGACAGCAACGTGATTGGGCAGCGGCAGGAGCGCTGGTGGGGCTGTGCAGTCTGTGGCGGTGTGAGAGCGAGAGAGCGAGAGAGCAAGAGAAGGCGGGTGGTACTCAGTGCCACATCTTCTCTTCCTCAAGTTTCACGTAAATCGGCCCAGATTAAGGGCCTCCGGGCTTGTACCTGCACTTTAACCACAATTTCAAAGATTTTTGACACCCGGCCTGTCAATTGCCCAATGAATTGACTCCATACTAACCGTCAAATGTGTTTGCAATGCCCTGCGAAAGTATCCCCGGTCTACCTGACACCGAATGAGGCGAAAAAGATATGTAAAGTTGGTAAGCAGCGGAAGAAGTAAGCACAAGTTTTTGGGCCCGAACGCGAAGACAAATTGATGATGATTTTTCATCACATTTAAAAATGAACTTCCGCTCAACATCCAAGTATCAGGCGATAATGCGACTTTAAATTTCAGAGTTGATATCACGAAGGGTCGAACTCAATGTGGAGTAGTTTCTGTAACCAGGTAACTACCGATTCACCACCAGCGAATTTGAAGTTCTACCAAATAATATGGACAGAAAGAGCGAGTCGGTAATTAGTTTGCTTGAAATACGGGAAATAAACCGAATATCTTTTAAATTATATCCAATCTTCTCAAAATAATATGAGCCCTACGCCTACACAGGCTCGAGTTCTTCATAAGCAAAAAACAGAGAATTGATTAATGACGCCTGGTTTAATTGGAACACAAACACCCCGTTAATATACTCCACTCAAACCACGGTTCGTTTTTAACCGACCGCTAACATCGGCATGGTGAATATTATAGGAACCTCGTCCTATTACAAATAAGGCGAAAAAAAACTAGTTTTTACTTATTGACACCAAAGAAAAACTGTTATATGACTCCACTATATAAAGTCTTAAGCCAATCGTTTAAATATGGAGAAGTTTTTTAAAGCGTCACTAAATTACTTTCCACTAAAAATAAAAAAATGTGTCATTAGGGCCTGGTTGAAGTGACTTTTGGGAGTCGTGTGGCCTCTAGAGACAGCACCGCGACCGCAATTTCGCGCAACGCCACACAATGCTCGGAGTTAAAAGCACCTGACACAATTCTTGACCCTGTGAGCTGACTCAAGGCACTGCCACTCACCAAAATATTATTGTTTCAAAAGCCCAGGCTGAGAAATGAATCTCACGATTGTCAATTTAGAAGCTGGCAGAAATCCCACTGGTAATATAACCTAGAAGTTACCTTCGGTTTCTCTGGCGTAAATGGGTAGGCTCATATTTAAAACACGACACCTTGATTCATTCAACTACAACAGATGACACTCTGAACACAAGCTTAAAAAATTTATTGAAATTTCTTAATTAAGTCAGAAAAATGGGCCGTGACAATAGCATTGTCTCGAAGTTTTACAAAATCCGCCTTTTTTCTCAGTTCAGGGTATACATTGTCAACAAACCAGGCAAAATCCTTGCATCCAAGTTTATGCTTTAGTCGCTTGCGTCGGGAGATGTCACCTGCCGATACCTTTAGGCACTCCTGGTGCGAAGAGTAGAATAGGGCTATTGGGGGAACAACGAATTTGGCTGAATTGACTTTCAGACCCTTTGAAGGCTCCATCCAGACGGTGGAAACCCGCTTCAGATTTCTTGTAATTGTTGTCACTTTGTCCTCTGGGAAAGAGTAGGCATGTGAGTCTCGAAAGAGGTGCGAAACCCGACTGCAGGGTATTATCTCCACTCGACCATTGCACATCCAGGCACGGAAGCTGAGCTCAAGATTTTCACCACCCCAAACCTCCATTTGGCTGTCAAAGGCGCCGAAAGTGAGGAACTGCGTGCGGAGCACAGCGATCACTGATCCGGCTATAACTGGAGTTGGACGAGGCAAGCTGCGCCAGGTCAGGTTCATTTGCCGCCCAAACGAGTTGAGCTAAGGTAGCAGTCCAGATCAGGGACAAGAAATAACAGTCAATTGAAACGAATGTACGAATAACGCTTAAAGGAAGTGTGGATGTGAAATGTGACCTGTGTTGTTCCGTAAGATTGATGTCGATCCAAACTACTTCATCATCAACCAAGCCAATATTTTAATTGGCATGACAAAAAAGCACATTGCGTTGAATCGAAAATCACGCAAATTAACGGGGGCGAATAAAAAGATTCGATGAGTTTAGAATAGACCTGGTCAACAGTGTAACTACCATGAAATGCAGACTAAGCTAGCAGGAATGGAGGCGCATTTCACATTTCGTGACACTTCATGCCGTCGTCGTTTCGCAGCAGTGAGGCATAACCTAGGTGTTAAGGACTATAACTGGAGTTCTGGGTCATCGGACGAGACATGCGTTTGCTAAAATAGCGATCGCAACCCAAAAGATCTAAGGTTTCCAATAGTGGAAACTCGTGTAACTTCTAATATCAGAGTCAAATTAGATCCAAAACTCGAAGAAGAAAAGTGTATTTTTTCAGATCGATGTAAGAGGTGGCTTGGCAATAAATAATGGTGGCACAAAAATATCAAGGGGTTGTGGTGCACCAATCTATTATTAAAAGGGAAACACATAATCTCTGGTAGCCCTACACTTGCTTGATTAAAAAGTCAAACTCGGCTGAGTATTGTAAAAAAGTCTTGAAAATAAAGTGAATCAAAACAGTTCAGTTGGTGCCGCACCTCCTTACCCCTCGAAGAATCCAGCAATTAAAGGGAACAACTAGAGTTCACACAAGTTGGTCCTCATCTAATTTACATTAAACCTAAAAGCTGACATGGTTCCAAAGCACATTTTGAAGTAATGAGAGAGGCAGTTACAGGGAGCGATTAGGCTAGTCGACCCTGGAATTTACTATTAAAATTTATTTTTCCAAAAGGTTATTCTTTTTGAATGGTGCATTTAAAAGTTAGACGCGGTTGAAATTTAAAATTTTGTCAATATTTTTGGCAAAAACGTACGCGACTTTCACGTCACTACACAGGAAAATAGTATTTGAACAAGAGCGCAAAAAGTGGCCCCGTAAGTGCCTTCAAACCAAATCTCATTGCTCCAAAGCTCTCACTAATCCTTTATGAATCCTGCTGTATAATTGTGTTTTTATGGTTCCTCTTATTTGTTTCAAATACTACTATACACATTTTGTGTTTAATATTTACTCAAGGAAATGACAATTGCCTTGTTAGTACTGCCGAGGGCACACGACTTTATTCAAGCTTTATACGCACTGTAATAATGAACTTTTTGCAAGTAATGACCAATTAACACTTATTTTGCAAGCTACAAACATTAACGCAAACAAAGGGAAATTGTAAACCCTATTAGCATACCGTGTCCTTTTCATTTTCGTTCATAGGCTCCCACACAAAAGAGAGGTCCCATGTAAAGCCTCCACGAAGGTACTCTACAGCTGGGTATTCTTGCCCATTTTCTGTGAAAGCACTGATGAATGGACTTAAAACAAGTAGCCCTCTCTGATTTTCGAAACGTTGATAAGATAAAAGGCGCAGAATTATTGGTTTAAGCCAATTTTTCGCAAACCGAATATGTGAATCTGCAAAAATCAATATGTCGCCGGAAGCTTCATTGACCCCGATTAGACGGGATCTTATTAGTCCTTGTCTGGCTGCGTTACGAATAATGGAGACCTAGAAGATAATTAATGGCGATGTCTTCATGATTAATAAACATTTGTAAAAATCAAGCACTCTTACTCTTGGCTCAACTTTTCCCAAACTTATTTTAACAGGGAACTGGCTAAAATCATCAACGACAATTACTTCCTTCAGGAATTCTTCGGAGGTATTTGCCATTAAACTAATCAAGGTCGCCTGCAAAATATGTTCATTCTCGTTATGCGTCACAATAATAACCGATGCGAGTAGTGGAGAAGGGTTGTCTCCAAGTATTTTTGAAGTGTGAGACATCCACCTGTGACATTCAGTGTGCCAATTTCTTTCGGAATCTTAAGTTAAGTAGAAACAAAATGTTCTGAAACCTACACAGTTTATTTGACGCTTTCAGAGTTGCATCAGAGCTTGAATCGAATATAGTTCCACCATTGTAATTCACAACGACGATAAGAAGCGTAAAGACCCAGCAGATACTCGGTAATTTCACCATTCAAGCAGTTCTAGAGAAGTGAATGGTGTAAATGTTAGAAATATCTTTTAATTCACAAATTATAGTGAATTAAAGTATAAAAGTGTATAGGACAAATCACGGCTGCTAAAACACGCCCGCAGATTCCTAAACTGGGAACAAAAGTCGCAACCTCTGCAACTTATTTGTACACAAGATAAAACTGTTCAAATAATGTATACTTTTCTGTAACATCTTGAGACTACAGCGTTTCCAGCACATCATAAGTAATTCCAAAAAATCACGGCGGATTTACACAATTCGTGTGACTTGGGTATTAACCAAATTGTACTCATTATAACAGGATGTTTTATGAATGCTGGTAAGGAAACTGCAAATTTTACTGCTATGACGATAGAATCCATGGGGTTACTTTTGGTTAGTCGAATACGGCAGAATTTATTATGTCATGATATGGGTACAACTTTCAACTTCTACTTTAGCAATAATTGATAGAAGTGTAGTTACGGATATGCGGTGGAGGAAAAAGGACTGAGTAGTTTATACTAAAGTTTTTAGTCCCAATGAAAACAGACGCAATAACAAACAAAAGAAGTGTTACCCCGATAACTTGATGGAAAAATATAAAATAATGATAGTCATAAATTTTTTCACTTAAATAATTTAGTATTTGCTAAATTAATTAAAAAAACAAAGGCAGACTCGAATATTACAAGCAAATGTACTTGGAGGGAAAAAGACCATACCCTGTTCGCATTTTCGTAGGTGCATCATATTACTTTCAAGGTTACACTCAGACATTGTTGTGAATATGTAAAACAAAACCAAGTAAAATGACATCCACAAAGGCATTTTAATAGCTATTTTGTTGTTAACAAAAACTTTTGTACACATATAAGCATACATATCAGTAGCGGATTAACAGCTATCGCGTTTGAGTGAGCCCCGTTTACTGACCTGACGGCGACAATAACCCTTTTAATTGGATACTGTTATCAGACGCTCGTCATCCATTTAATCATTCACACACTTGGCTGGCGTGTCCCTAATAAACTGTCGTGTCCTCTGTCGCCTTTTGTTCCACTCTCCTTAAGTTGTTACGCGATTTTAACTGGAGGGTTGTAATGTAGTGCTTAAGCACAAGCTAATACACATCAATGAATACACCAATAAACCTTGTGGAGTAACCAAATAAGGCCGCTACTTCATTGAAGATCAAAAGGACACATCTGTAAGTCAATTTCCGTAATAAATAACATTAGTTATTAGTCCACTTTTGGTGTATTTTTTGTCGATCTTAACCTTGGGACGGTCGACATAGCTTGTAAAACATTCTTGGCATAGGACTTAGTAAACATCCAGGAAGAGATGCAACTCCAAAAAAACCAACATAAAATTTATTTTAGTGGAATTGCCTTAAAATTATTTGAAAGACTCCCTGGGGCCAAGCAGGAGCTTGCCAACACAAACAAACATTTACGTATCTGGTTAAATTTAATGAAATAAGGCTTTTATTTGAATGGCTGCTTGTTCCTCATTTAAGTAGGCGCTTTTTCATTTTCTTAACATTATGAGCTTTCGAAATTAACTTACGATGTATGCATGACACATAAACCAACTGCGCTGTTGGGCAATGATGCATCTAGGATTGCCTTGCAATCTTAGTGTGTAGAACAGTCTATGTGGGAAAAGATGTACGAAAATACCACGGCCAAGTTAAAATTAATGCGCAACTTCCTTGGCCCATTTGTAAACAATCTTAAAACCTAAAACTTGAATGGTAATAAGGGCACGGCATATGAGAATAGAAAATTACTACAAACAAGGCTTTGTTTAACCAATCTTTAAAAGCCTGTTAAATCTAATGGTTTAGGGTTAAAGGAGACGACAGAAATGTACAACAAAGATACTCTAAAAAATTAGACTATAAAGGTAAGCAAGTAATAATTTGTACAACACTCAGTAGTCAAAATCCCATAAACTATGTAGTTGGTCTCATAGAAAGGAGTCGAAAAAACGTCGCGGAAGTAAGCCCAATTTCACATTGACATAGGTAGTCCCAGGAAATTTCCTACAACAAAGGAAAATTTTGCAACCGACGATAATGACACAACAGTTGTAACCTCGAACGACATACCTCGATTTTGGAACACCTGTTCTCGAAAAATGGCATTGGATCACCCCTCAGCTTAGGTGAGGCGGACATTTGGCTTTGGTCGTAAGCATCAATATTGTGAGCACGCATGTAAGTTGTTAGTAGTAACTCGACGTTGAGTTTCATTATTTCGTGAACTTTTTGTAGGGCACCGAATGCTACATTGCAAAACAACACTACCTTAGACATTTTAGCACTAACATGTAAAATATGCCATAAATAAGGGTGAATGGAAGGTCTAGAGTGGTCCTGTCTTAAAATAAAGTGTAAGTTGGAAACGTTGAACTAGTTTGTGATTTCCATTTTAAAACAGTGCAAACAAGAGATTGAAGTGTTGTGTGATTCTGCAGATTGGGAATTTGACAAATAACTAATAACCTAAAAGGGATTTAGTTGCATATTACACTGCCAAATGACAAGAGTCGGTTACCTTAAATTTAGTCGCTAGGGCGAACAAAACTCTCAAAAGCCTGGAGCGTCAAACATTTGCTGTACACATCATCGGTTCATCCAGGATTTGATATGTGGCGAAAAGTTAGTTGCACTAATAGTACTGACGGCATACAAGGAGGAGCATGGAACTAAGCAAATATTTGGCAACATGAATTTAAATTCAGCGTTTCAATAGTGAATTACACGAAAACAAAGTGGCCCATCAATGGAATAGGTGATTTAAATACAGAAGTTTACCGGCGGATTGAATGTGTCGCAATTGCTGAGTTATCCGGAGACGACGTTCTGCTGGTGGCTTTTTGTCGTCAGGGCACCTGCAAAAGCCATTGGGATGAGTGTTTGGTGCGCTACTGACATCATTAAAGTAGTAATTTTACCTGTCAAGGTCCGAGGCCTGCGTGAGGTATCGCCTAAAGTTTTCACGAGAGGAAATTACATCTAAAAACCGAATACACTTTTCATTAACTGAATTATCTCAGTTTTGACAAATTCCTTTTAGGACTATTCGCAACTAACCTTCTTTAACCTCGGTATTCAGAATGTAAACAATGGTGGATAGGATTTTGCAACATTCATGCTCAATACTGTCATCGATAGCCATTGAAGTTATTCGCCGTTTAATCGAAACCAAAATTATTTGCAGGGCAGTGGTTCCTCCACACGGTGTGTACGTTCCATCTGCAGTCCTAAAAATAGCATCTTGCTGACCGAAAAACGCCAGAAGATCCGGGGGTAAGTTTTCCATGGCTAAAGAGAAGACCTCATTTGCTATTTTAACAAAGTGAATCGAAGAGCCGGGCGAAAACGCGCACCCACACAGGTCGTCGGTAGACTCTGAGGGTGGACAAATGCCTTCCTGGCAGCGCTCGCTCAAGCACACGGCATCAGTTGTGTCAGCCTTGGCAATGCCCGCCTTAATTTCTGCTAGCATTACGCGGTCCAAAGCCAAATCATGTATCTTCTTGGATATCCTAAATGGGACCACAAGTGTCAAGACAAATGTCTGCCGTGAATGAAGTGCAACGGTGGATAAAGTTCCCGACTTACAGTTGCATTGAGTCTTCTACAAACTCGATTAGTGCTTCAAGCCAAACTGGATATGACTCAGTTGATTCAAGATCAAAGATTTGAAGATGCTTTAATCTGAAAGGGAATTGGGGATGCTTTAGAATTTAACAAATCTAACGTCGATTTAAGTAAGTGCCCAATAAAGATTACAGCGAAATAATATACTGAGAACTTAGTTTGTACCGAGATGAATTATCATTTTCTCGGGCGAGAATAATTACGGTAGATTGCTTGAAGTGGATTCGTTTGGAGCCCAAATCGAATTGGCTCATCGGTACTTCATTGCATGATGCAAATTCCATCTGCCATGCATTCGAAGCAGACAGAACCTGACTTGAGTAGAGCGTAGGTTATAGTCTAGTTAATAGAGTCGCAAATAACCTCAAGCCAATCCAAATTGTAAAAGGTACGGCGGCAAAAAGAGCGCGTGGATGGCAGCGAATATAAATGAGAAGAGGCATTCATTGCATGGGACTTGCGAACCCACCTTCCAAACAGGGGACCTAGGATGGTGCTGTAGCAACCGTTCGCAACGTGTTCAGTAGCAAACAACTTGAAGAATGCCTTGTAAACTTCAAAAATGGATTTGAATTCTTCCTCTGACTGTTTTGCATTTGCCCATTCAGAGTGCAGAATTGGTTTAAGAAGTTCACCGCCGTCAGTGAAAGCTAACTAGAAGTAAAAGGACGTGTGTTACTTCAGAAGCCTGCGACTGTGAGCAGAAGAATCTAAAAGCAAAATTATGAATTCCAAAGCTGCCTTTTGCATTTCCACAGCATGCCTCGTGCTAAAAAGGTCCTGCTGCTAAATGATCCGAGTCAAGGCACATGCAAGAGTATGCAATTATTTCGGACTTTCCAAAACCTACTAAAATACTAGATTTAGTCTTGCCCTGAAAGGAATGCTGCCAAGAAACCCCAGCAAGCAAGGTTTAGCAAGAAAAATATAGAGAACCATCCCTTGCATATGGAAAACAAACCTAAGGAATTCCATGCAGGAAACTAGATCCACTGGAATGTCACACACCATAACCAGCACAGACCCCTGTAAGGAAATCGCTTGAATGTCAAAGTTAACTGGAAATCGAGAAGAAACTATTATAAGTCATCACTATGCCTAGAAACAGTTTCTCGAGCAACCTGTCGATGAATAAATAATTAATCATGAAGTGAACACATGTGTGTGAATGAGAATAATGCATCAGGGGGTCAAGGTGAACGCAAAAGACAGCGTGATACCACAAGAAGGAGCACGTGGTCACCAATACCAGGAAGGACTATCAGTGTGCCTTTCCTCGGGAAGATGGAACGACAGCGGTAAAATTAACACGTTGGCCTTTTCCCTGTCTTCAACAATTTTGTTTGTCATCAACGCTAAAATTGCCTTGCTCTCAAGAGATATCCTAACACGATGCAACTCGAACTGCTTCACAGAAGCGGATTCTGCCTTCACTCGAAATAAGATATTTTAAAGAAAATACTCACAGTCAGTGCAGTAACTGGGTCGAAGTATGGGCTGCTGCCGAAATGCCGGAGCATGACGAGTACTCTGCAGGGAAGAAGCCTCCATTGAATTTTGGGGGGAAAAAGACTTATCATGAACTTTAAAGAGGCTAGAGATGACTCGTGCAGTTAAAATGTGATTAAAAAGGAGGATACTCGTTGCCTCTACCATCAGGACCCTAGGTTCTAAATCCAACACGCAGCCAACAGAGCCATTGACTTCTGTTCCATTGCCATCGTCGACTATATCTTCCACTTAAAGCGGGCGATTTAGCCAATAAAGAATTTTTATGAATAACATGTGCTGAAGGGTGTTATTAGAAAAAACAAACAAGCCTGATGTTTTTGAATTTTTTCAAATATCAAAAGCTCGCTACATTGGTTGGCCAGATTACTTTGCTTTTTTTCCAAAATCTAATGGGAAACGTAGGCAACCCCGAAACTCGCATATTACTTACTGTTGAGTTTCACTGGAAGGATGGTTAAACAGACGGTGGTCAATCACCTTCAGCCACGTACTTAGCTCAAAGGGCGATGAGGGCAAAACGTCGTCCATTTCCGCACAAAATCTTCTAGTGTGAAGCCTTTAAATAATAAAAAAAACTAGCACTAAAGTGGAACTAGGAGCTTTGAACGAGCCAAACTGAAACATGAACCTACGCGCTAAGCAAATCGGTGGGAGCACCGAAACAGAGGAGACACTGCGTAAGCATGAGGGAGGCAGAATGAATGGATTGCAAATCGACTGAAAGCAGCCCGTGGCCGAGGACATCAGCTTCAGTCTCGGTGCAACGGAATATCAGTCGATGAGCCACCTTCATGGCGCTCCAAGTGAAAGACCTTCAAATAAGCAGGCAGAGCACATTTCTGTCTAACAAGGGCAGTGTAAAAACCATAATTCAATCACTTATTGCATTCAACAATAGCCCATACGAAGCTTTGGGAAGAAGGATCGGCCATCCGAACTAGGGGCCAAGAAAGACGTCAATAAGGTTAATTAGCATATTTATTTAACGTTAGCGCCAAAGCGCATCTCACAGAGAGGGACGCGGAACTTATTTGCAGTGACTGGTCTGATTACATGAGGAGATAAAATTGAACAGGTTGGTTGTGGGTGGTCGTAGACACAATCTACTGTCTCGGCAGCAGACACAAAGAATTTTGCTTATTGCAGATGAGTGTACGAGTCTTTGCCTCAGACAACAAGCGGCAAATATTTAGCATGTGGAACGCTAAAAGCAATAACGAGTTTGGTTTATAATGTAACAGCCGTAAAATTTTACAAGTATTATTAGACATGTTTTCATACAACAGTTTAATTTAGAGAAAGCACTCAGAAGTACAACTTCAAGCATGATCAAACATATAAGCAGAGTTTATTAAATAAATGTCACTAAACTACTTGTGATAAAAAACCAATCACTCAAAAATCCGACGAAACTGCCAATGGCTGTTTAGTTTAGCGTGTTGTGGCAAGTACCATTCTCTTACTTCACCGCATTGTGTTCATCGTCATTCCCCGGATTTACATTGGCCACTTGCTGAACGATGTGAAGAAGTCCTTCAGAGGATATCCGAGCATACATTTGTCGCGCGAGACCAGCGGGAAACGTGGAACAAAAGGTGTTCCACAATTTGTCCATAAAAGTGGTCCAAGCATGAAGATCAAGGCTGCGGTGTTTCACAGCTGGAACAACATGGAAGTCACCGGTGTTGAGAGCGTCTAGTAGCTTATGAACAGGTAGGGGTCGAAGAGGGCTGAGAGAGACAAACTTCGAGTGGTTAATTGCAACCTCCGTGATGCGGTCGGCAATCTGGCGAACAACTGAGTCAAACTGCTTCCCGCAGTCAGTTAGCCGAAGTATTCTAAGACAGGAAAGTGAGGCGTCACATGAACACACGTTTCTACTAAAGATTTGATTATAGAAAAATAAACTTCGCTCTGCTATCAATAAAGAAAAACATTAAAAGTGGGCACAATTTGACGAAAAGCAATCGTCGCTCTAAACGATGGATTTACTCTGAAGCTTGAACAGATCAGATATTTGCATAGGACATCAATTTCAATTAGGGATTTGTATTTTTCAATGGGGTATAATGTACGTCAAGAAAATGTAAACAGGAAGGCGTATATTGCTGAGATGGTGGGTAAAATAAGTACCACATGCCTCAAAGTTTTGCAATTCACTGAGATGAGACAATCAAAGATACATTGAGAATATGTAATTAATGTCAATTGATTTCGAAAAAAAATTAGGGATGACAGTTTTTTTTTTAAAAAAACATAAACGTGTGGAAAAATAACTTTGAACGGCAAACAAACGTTTATGCGGATTCTTCAAGGAAGAACTTTAGGACAGCTTACTTTTAGAAAATATAGACAAATATAGACAAGCTCACGTTAAAATGAAATGATCTACTGCTCAAATTACAAACAAGAACGAGCCTAACCGAGTCAAAAGGTTACATAAATGCCAGTGAAGACAAGTCATCAATAATGCGGTCGTTAACACACAAAAATAAAAGCTACGAACATACATTCCTTCAACATAGTCTATCAAATTCAATGCTCCGCCGTCTGGTGAAGTTAAATTAGTGTCCTGAAGCACTGTACACATGATTTCGCAGAGTGTTCGGAGAACTAAGAGGCCGGCGATAGACAAGGCCATTTTTTCAATATGTTTCAACACGGCGTCTGCGTCTAAGGCATCCGCGTCGCCAACCATTAAGTCGGCAACCTGCTCCATCAGTAATTGCCGCTGCGTGCCAGGGATCTTGACCGAACCCGAGAAGAGGTCAATTAATGGGTCAAAGAACGCAAGAACGACATCCGCATTCGAGACAGTGCGATTGTCATCGAAGGACACCAGAAATGCAAGTATTGTTGGCAAAAGTGTGTCTATGACGAGTTCACACAAATGCTGGACGCTCTAGCAAAAAAAGAAATTACCAAAAACAATAGCTCAGAGGCAATAAAAATCGAAGTAAGAATGTGAATTAGGCAAGTTAACATATTTTTTTATTCAAACAAGTGGTTACTGGTCCCACACGAATTCTATAAGTAAAGTGTGCAGCATTCGCTAAAGCTATCTGTAGCAATTTTAGTATAACGAGAATACTACAAAAATGTCAACCGACAGAGATCTTACAGAGAAACACATAAACACTTGAGAACGTATCCTGATGGACTAAACAAACGATAAGTAAATAGTAATGTACTACGAACGGGAAACACGAGTATTTGCATTCGAGTTGAAAGGAGTGATTGTATCGAAAATCTACCACTACGAAATTTGGTAAAGCGGTTTAAATTAATTTTCAATTTTATTAAATTATGTTTTGTTTTGGTTTGTTCGTCGGTGTTACGATAAATGGTCTCTTACGGAGCTCATGGTAAATCCAGATGCTGGCAACCCAACGGCAGCACCGACAGCTGACAACCAGGCAGTACACGCAGTGGATACAATGGCTTGCGTTCTGTCAGCTGATTCATTAGTTACTGAAAGGTTAGGAGTCAAGAATTTTCCAGACGCTGCAGAGGCAAAGTAGCGCATATAGAGAAGCACGAATCGCACTGATCCACTGCAATTTGCTTTGGTGGAGAAGGAAAGTGTATACGGCGATTCAGCAAGCTTTGTCGATGCACAAGCTTCCTTAATAACGGATTTCAAAGAATTGACGAAGACTTCAACTTTTCCAGAGATCAAACAGCGAGCTAGCATAAACGTTTGTCGTTTTAGAAATTCGTGTCTTGAGCCTAAAACACAGAGCACAATGTTTGTGTCCGTAAGGAAGAAAACTGAAAGAAAAAGAACATACATATGTGACGACTTTCCAGATCCACGGGTTTCTCAATTTGACAATCCATCATCAGAGTAAATTCAATGCTGGTGAGCAAGCAAATCAATTCGCATATGTCACTGAAGAAAGTCCGAAAATCGAGTTGTGTTAGGTTGTTCTAAAAAAACAGAATTGGTTACGAGACCACCGATACGCCAAATTTCTAAGCATATTACTTTTGTTATTGACATTCAGTTATGTAAAGTTATTTCAAACGAAAATGATTAACATAAACACTGAAGACATAACCCTATTGTTAAGATTACATAAATGGTAGGTTTTTACTATTTCAAAGTAAAAGCAATTAACGTAGGAATTAGCTAAGAATTTTAATACTTAGTAGGCAAAACCAATTAGAGGAATGTGCGAGAAATGTCTGCAGATTGTGTTTTTTTTGATACTCCGCAAACCAGTTGAAGTTTGTAGTTTTAAGAAGGAACTTAACAAGAGAAGAACAAAGTACCACGTTGTAAAGAGACATAACTAACGCATTGTCAGACCTCTACCTGCACAAATCAGGCCTACAAATACTGCTATTGATACAAGAAAAAGCATTCTATACATAGTTAAAAAGTGTATGCATGTAATTTGTGCAAAACATTTGCACAAATGTTTCTAAGGTAAAAACAGTGTTGTTCAGAAGGAGTAACTACTACAAACCCATATTTAATTTGTGAAAACAAGTAATTAATATGCATTATCGTTCACATTTATTGGCAATACAATCTATCTTCGATACAGTAATGCATAAGCCTTTTGGTGGTGCAACTTCTCAATAAAACTAGTTAAGGTTTTTAGACCTGAAAAAGGCGAATTGAAATAATTAATTAGATAAACTGGACCGTACCAACAAAATAACTTACGTTAATATTGCGAACGAATTCATTAAGTAGCTTGTAGACATCATCTGAGTTCGTTAGATGAGGACCCTCTACCAAATTTTGGCGGAGAGTTTTCAGGTGTATTATGATGTCGTGTAAAGTAATCTGATTCCCGTCACCAGAACATTGGCCTGCATATAGCGTTTTCCGATAATATGAGACAACCGCTGCGTTTAAGAGCTAAATATTGCAACAAGAAAATAAGAATCGTACCGTTGGATTCACCAACGCACCCCTGTAAATTAACCACTGAGACATCCTCGAAACGTATTCACAGACCTGGTGAAAGTGATTTTCCACAAGTTGTTCCAAAACAGAAGCCCAATGCTACTTTAAAAATCGTAAAAGTTAGTGCACAACCTAACTGCTAGATTCGAGTAGTTAGAAGAAACTCGACCACGAAATACATCCAAAAGTAGAACAGTAGTCATATTTATACCATCTACCTGACAATAACGAGGACTCTAAAAAAATTCATAAGAGTCAAAAGACAGAAATGTGGCACATGTACCTCAAGAATATCAGCAAGGTAATAACAAGAAATTGCACATGGATCCGATAGAGGTCCACAAATTAAAGGGTCATGTTCGACAGGGTTCTTCGCTAAATCAAGGCATTTAGAAGAGCTAATTTAAAAAAAATTAAATAGTTCATACTGTATTAAGGCATCATTTTTCTGTTGTGAGAGAAACGACAAAATATTCGGAAGGACATCCATAAACATCCGATTAAAGGAACATCTAAATTGACGCCAATCAGCCGAGACCAGACAAATGAAACTGGGATATACAAACAATATTTATCGTAATTAAAAGGGGAGAGCGTTTTATTATGTATGATGTGCATAACAAACAATTTTCACTAAAAGACAGAAAAAATGTTTATCCAAAGGCCCTTACAACCGCAAGTCAACAATCATGTCAAAAAAACTATTTTTACGTTACTGGGAAATTGTGATTCAAGGCATAGTAACTCAAGATTCCCTTTATCGCCACCAAAGTTAATATGAGAAAAGATGTCTATAAGCATATGAAAAAAGAATCCCGCACACTGAAATCATAGATTTACGTAATCACAGCATGTCCTAAAGGTAAATGCAATTGTTAGTGGAGCCCGTTAATTGCAACTTGAAAATTGGTCTAAAACTGCGAATTATTAAAAAGTCGAGAATGTATCTACAGCATATACTAGCTTTAATTGACATACCAAGTCTACAAGACTACAAAGATTATCCTAGATTATTAAGTAAATGGCACAAAACTTAGAGCAACCAATATTTGCAATTTAAATGCCGATAGCCAGCCTATTTTCCTTTATCTCCAAAGTAGCAGCTGGTTAGCGTGCTTTGTATCTAAAAACATGTAGAAATGTAAACAATTCAACTTACATAACCCAACAACGATACCTTCAGAAATGTAGATGACAGTATGAAAAATTCACAATCAAATTCACGGAAAAAGTGTTCATAGCCATTATTCATTGCTTTTATGCCATGTTACTAGATTTGACATTAACTAGGAATTGTAAACAACTG